TTTTTTAATTTTATTTAAAATTTAATTAAAATGACAAATTATGCAGTGCCAGGATGCAAAGAAAATGGATATCATTTTTTCCCAAAAGACAAAAAATGAAGAAATTGTGCGATAAAGCAATAAGACGACTAAAATTGGCGAAATAACAATCTTTATATTTAAGGATTTGTGAACATCATTTTAAAGAAAGTGATTTTAAAACACATAAATGGTCTACGGGTTATTATTATTATTTTATATTTTTTGTACTTTTTCAAATTTAAATTACAGTCTTTCTACAGACTTTCATCAATCATTTTATCGCCTTAAGGGATTGAATTTTGAAAAATGCTAAATACCTATTTATTTAATTCTACCGAAGAGCATTAATACGAAGTTTCAAGTAATTCTGATCATAAATAATTTCTTGCCCATATAAACCTTATTACCCCCTTTTATGGTAACGGTTAAGGGATGAATTTCGAAAAAAATCAAATAAATATATTTCTTATGTTTTATCTTAACACCACTTTATATGTATTTCATATAAAGAATAACAGAGTTTTATACAATCTTTAATTCCCTATTTACCTCTTTTTTCCTATTTACCTATTTCACTTAGAAGATGAACTTCGAAAAATCCAACCTTATCAGATGCCTACATTATATAAGGAATAAGTCCTTGTCCCTACAGACGATAATCCCGCGGATTTAATATCTCGTGGAGTAGAACCTTCCGCCATGCAAGCATTGGATTTATGGTGGTTTGGTCCATCCTTTTTACGACAGGATATTACTAGACTGCCATGCATGCCTACGGATTCAGTGAACCTACCTGAAATTAAGTCAAATATTTGCCTTGTAGCGAGTGACGCTAATCATAATTTAGATAAAGGATTAATTAATTTTGAACATTTTTCAAATTTTACGCGGTTACAACGTAGTATTTGTTATGTGTTACGTTTTATTAAAACATGCAAAACCCATTCTACATTTACGTCTAACTTTACTGCTGAAGAATTACAAAACTCTTTAAACATAATTATAATTCAGTCGCAAAAGGAATCTTTTCCCGAATATAATTTATTAATAAATAAACAAAAACTACCATATAAAAATCAATTATTAAAATTGCCAAAAACGCGTAAGTTGGTTTTGGATGTCATCTAACTCAAGAGAACTAGAAGAACATTTATTTTGAAAGTTTGTAAAGTTACATTTTATTGGTGGGAAATGATATGACAACATATTATAGCCGCCGTTAACTGGGCCACAAACTAGCCAACCAAGTCTAGTTTGTTGTAATGTTGGTTTCCTATCACCTAATATAATTTTATCAGAGCCTAACAAGCTCCAAAATACGTCAGCTCCAATTATAATATCAATGGAAGCTGGCGAGTGAAAGTACGGATCTGCTAACTGTATATTCGAAGGAATATCTATATGTACCTGTCTAGCGGGAACGTTATCGGTAATAGTGGGCAAGACAAAACATATTAAATCATCAACATAAGGTTCGTGTAACGATTCGACGTGAACTCGGCACATTTTTCTTACAGGAGATAGTGAATTATTAATTCCTTGAATAGACTTTTTTATATTTAAATATGGTAAATTTAATTTTTTAAATAATCGTTCCGTCATTAGGCAAGACGAACTACCGGAATCAAGAAGGGCGCGTGCGATGTGTTCTTTGTTATTTGCATCATAACATTTAATTAACGCAGTCGACAGAAGGACGTCGCTCGAGGTGCTTGTATGCGAGTGCGCCGAGATGTTAGCCGATAGTGCAACATGCGCGTTGTCTCCGTTGTCAGTAGCGATGGAAGATAACTTGTCCTTGGCCTTGCCGATTGTACATTCACCTGATTTGTTTACAACGGGATGGCTTTTATAATCATTATTGTGAATAAGCGTGTGGTGTTTGCGATTGCAAATTTTACAACCTGGTTTTTTGCAAGAATTAGGATAGTGACCATGACGAAAACAATTAAAACAAATCTTGTAATTTTGCAATAATAACATTCTATCGCTAACACTCAGTGCTAAGAACTGTGGACATGAATTTAAGTTATGATCGCCACTACACTTTGGACAAACGTGTGCTAATGAAGAATTTATTTTTTCTGTGGAAACCATAGCCTTAATTTTAGTGTTGGATTTAATATTACTGGAAGAGGGGCGTGATATTTCAACTGTTTCTAGTACGTCAGCACGGCTACGCAGAAAATCCATGAACTGTTGAAATGAAATTGATTGAGTTTTATCAAAGCGCCCTTTAAACTCCTCCCACTCTCTAAATGTTTTAAAATCTAATTTTTTACTAATGATATATATTAGAAGAGTATCCCAACTGTGAATAGGCTCGCCTAATGAACTTAATGCTCTAATATTTTTGTTTACATTGTCGATTGTGCGTTTCAATGCAATTGAGGATTCCTTCGTAATCGATTCGATATCAAACAACGCCGTGACGTGATTATTAATTAATAAGCGTTTGTTATCGAAACGTTCACAAAGAAGTTCCCACGCAACTGTGTAGTTTCGGGCGGAGAACTCAATTGATTTAATTACGATGGCAGCCGAACCTTCCAATGATGATCGCAAATAATGAAATTTGTTAATTTCGTCCATATCGTCATTATCATGAATAAGACTAGTAAACGTATCGCGAAATTCAAGCCAGTTAACGTAAGATCCTGAGAATTTTGGTAATGAAATGGTAGGTAACTTGACTAGTTGACGCTTTGAACTACTGTGGCTAGATTTTACATCATCCTTTTCTAATTTAGAATAGTTATTTAACATAATTTTTGCCTGAGCGACTAAGTTGTAATACTGAGATTCTACAGTAGTTCTTTCAATAGATTCAACATCAAGATTTTCACATAAACATTCTAATTGTAATTGAATTTCGTTAAACTCATCATATAAATTTTCTAACTTATCAATACGTAACTGTAACTCCATTGCCTGACAAGGGGTTAACTCGGAACCTTTTAAAAGACCTAAATAGGTTGCAAATGAAGTAATTCTTCCCTTATAACTGCCACGTTTCTTTTTAAGATCTTTTATGTCGGTCATTTTGGAAGGCAGGTGTCGTCAACCTGGAATTTTACAACAGAACGCTAAATAATGTAACAATCTTTATAACAATATTACTATGACAATGAGCATTAATCACTAAATAAATATAATTAAATTTGACTTTTAAAAGCACTGCGCTTATAATTTTGCTGTTGTATGATAGACTTAAGACTAGTATATTTAAATGACTTAGGTATTTTACAATTTTAACTATCTACAATGATAACTACTTACAATACTAATAATTTTAAGGTTTAACATTAAATATTGTATTAAATCTGAATAGTTAACTAATGTAATATTAATATTACTGTACTGTCACAATGAAGTACTGATTAACTATAATATACAATTATTAAAAAATCAACCTAATGCAATGTAAATAACTAATTAATACGTTTTAAATTGTAGTAGTTTTAAATTAAATAAGAATAACTTGTAAATATTTATTAAAACATATTTTACTAACCTTATACAGTCTTCATATTGGTCATTAAGTTTTTACCTAGAATATTACCTGAGTGTTGGGTGAAATAAATTTTATTTAACGCTTAAAAACAATTTGTTTTATTAAATTAAATCACTCTAAAGTCCAAGCCACTTTTCTTCATCCAAAACGTGTAGGTTGAATCACTTCTTTTGGACACGTTGCTCAGTTTTATAATTTTATTAAACTCCAGATAATATTCTTTAAATCCCTATATTTCCAAAGAAATTATAAAAACCCGGTTCGTAATGGACCATCTGCGCGTATAGGGGGGGTTTACTGGGATTTTTAAATGAAAAATTAAAACTTTGATGACCGAACAGCACGCAGTCTTACGATTTATTGAGAAAAGAAAATTTAAAATCACCGTCTGTGCTATAATGACAATATATAACGACGCCTGATAGAAAAAAAGAGCATTACGTTGGTTATGTTACTTAATTAACTTAAAATAGCTTAATGGTGCTTCAACAGTCCTCCAAATTTTACGTTTCTACGACCAGCGGTTTAGGCTGTGTTTTGATCCATCTGTCAGTCAGTCGGGACCACCGCAGGACGCACCTCTCCTACTCAATTTTTCCTTTAGGTGTTCTAACTTTCAGGTACAATATATTGCACAGGTAAGTTGCGAAAACAATAGAAGCAAAAAATCAGGTATAAAAGAGATATCACAATAAATTCCTTAGCCTCAACCTGAATGTAAATAGGCCATACGTACGTACGTCCTTTCAAAAAAAATTCCACATTATATTGTTTTAATTTTTAAATTAAATATTATCCTATAAAAAATACAATTTAATAACAAAAATGATGGTTAACTTCAGTTCTCACAGAAACTATTACGTTATTATTGCGAAACAACTATTGATGATGAGTCCTCAGTCCACGAAAGATAAAAAACTTTTTTCTCTTCTATGTCTCATAATACATAATCAGTTCCAAATCTTTTTAATTTATACCTCTAAGGAGAACTTTGAGTCATAGATGAATAATAAAATAATGTATCTGTACGGAATGTCCAAAAAAGAAGTTTGACATTTGACAGAAATAAACTTGATTGCGCTTTTATTTGTTATCCATCATAGAGTATATTGCTACATGTTATCCATGAAATTGAATTCCGCTCGGGTTGTTTTCAAATTTCAGTTTTGTAGTTTGTACTCCTCGAAGCCCTTATGTAAAAAAAGCAATTGAATTAATTCGTTTGTTATTATTGATATTACATATTAGTGCTAAACTGGCACGATTTGAAACCATTAACTAAAAAATAGAATTGAATTCTTTTGAATTTCCAAATTCACAATAGAAAAGAATTTACTGTAAACTGTGTGCTGGAGAGAGGTATATTAACTATACAATTTTGGCTTGTGAACTGTAATATCACTAACTTTAATTTTATATCATATAGTTATAATATTCACCAAGAAAGTGCTTATCCCTGATTACCATGACTTACAACAATACTCATAGATTCTTTTTGCGAACTATGGCAAATCGTGGAGTGCTATCCATGAAAGAATCTGTTAAAGTGTTAAAGGAGTTTACTGGTATGTTTTTTACACTATATTCATATTTTGTTCATTTTAAGATTAAACATATATTTTTTAAATTCTTTGCTTATTTTTCAGGACCAAATGAAAGTGTACAACCTTCAACCGTTTCAAATTTGGTTGAAGAAATTAATAAGGAACTCAGATCATTTGGACAAAGAATAACTATAGTAAAAGATAAAAATACTGAAAGTCGAGAGGAAACATTAATTTTTATAATGATGGTTGCTGATAAAGCCACAAAGGCCCAAAAGATATTTACTGAAAAGGATTTGAATTATTTTAGAAAACTTATAGAGGAAATAATTCAAACAGAAAGCAGAGAAATAGATTATATTACAGCACTTAACTTGAGAACATTACTTACTAAAAAAGAGGCTGAGGTAAAATATTTGTTTTTTTTTTATTATAAAATATGCTTAAATATAATGTATTTTTGAACTGTGTTAAAATATTACTAAATTTTCTTGATAAAAATTTAATTAATAATTCTAATCACACTACTGTTATGAATGCAAGGTTGTTCATATGTTGGTTACTGTTTATGCTGAAATGGTTAGATGAACTTGGATGAAATTTAGTAGGTACATAGATATATATGCTATATACTGAAGTAATACAAGCTACTGGTATTTATAAAATAAGCCAAAATTTTGTGCTTGTGCAGCAAAGCAAAGCTAGGGTAACTGACTTCCCTAGTTATGCATATGTCCATACCAATATTATAAATGTAAAAATGTGTTTTTGAAGTCATACTTCTTTTGGCAAATTTGGAAAAATATATTAGAGCTAAATTTTTATGATTCGCGCGCACACCGACAGCCAAAAAGCGACATGATGAAGTTAGCTGCATTCCTTTTACAGAGAGTTGTGACATATAAGATGAAAGCTGCTTTAGCTATTTAGCTATTTTTGTTCTGTTACACCAAAGAAGTATAACTTCTAATATGCGTACATATGTACACACACACATTTTTTTTCTTTGTTTGTTTCTTTGTTTGCCTGTCCGTCCTTCTTTCATGTTGATACAGAATGACAGATTGGCATATTTTTTTGTGTGGAGATAGTTGGGAGCGCTGAAGAGTAGACTACTATCTACGGCGGGAGATTATCTCATTCCCACGGGAAACATGTTATAATACAACCCACAACAACTCATCATACCTGTGCATATCTTATTTGATTTTTTCAAAATTCCAATTGTGATTTGTTCTAATTTAAAAGATTGGATAGTTTTTATCCTTGTTATTTCTTTTTTAATGAAATAATTACGATTTTCATATCTGGAGAGGGATTCCAGAGAGATAACCTGAAAAACTAAAGATTTTTTTATAAGTTTGCCATAGCAACACGTGGCCGGGTCTGCTAGGATAATATTCTATAATAATGATAGGACAATATAAGAATCTATTCCATACAAACTGTTAAAATATACCCAGGGGCAAGCCCGAGCGAAGCGAGGGTGAGCCTCTAGTAAGAAATAATTTCATTTTTTTTTTTATTTCAGGTTTTGCTGGAGAGATGGTCTAAAATGCATTATCTAAAAAAAATTACAACTCAAGCAAAAGGTACAAGAAAAGAAAGTACAAGTATAAGTATTAAATTTACACTGGGTCTTAGAGGAATACATGAATTTGATACATATTTTACTGATAATCTGAACAGTTTTGTAGAAAAATGCCAACAATGCAAGGAAATTGTGATTATGGTATGTACCTTTATATGTTCAATAGCAAACACTACTTCAAATAAAGGAAATAAATGTGTACATTGGCTTTAACATATTGGCAAAAATAACCAGGTTTATTCATAAAAAAACCATTAAGATTATAAGGGTACATAAATTTTGCAAGAGCATATTTTTGCAAAAGAAACTTGTGGATAATATCATGAAAAAAAAGAGCACTACCAAATTACTTTATAAAACACAATAAAATTATATGGAATAAAATAAAATTTTACCCTCTTATTTCAAAAAAATGCTAAAACACGTATTTGTTTAATTGTATTGAAGAGTATTAATACCAAGTTTCAAGTAATTCTGATTATAAATATTTTCTTGGGTTGTATTGTAACGGGTTTTCCTGTGGGAATGAGATAATCTCTCGCAGTGAAAAGTAGTCTATGTCACTCTCCAGCGCACCCAACTATCTCCACACAAAAAACACGCTTATCCGACACTCTGTTTTGACGTGAAAGAAGGATAAACAAACAAACATACTTTCACATTTATAATATTAGTATGCATATCAATTTCTCTTCTTACATTCCTAAAGAATTCTTTTGCTTAGCAAGCTTGGCTTAGCTTTTCTTTATTTTTATTACCTTTATACTTATTTTTGCCTGTGGTTGTGTGTGGTGCTGATTGGAATAGTGTATGTTAGTTAGTTCTATTTTCATAATATCTTTTCAAAAAGATAAGAAGACAATAATTATAGTGCACAATAATAATTATATTGCATAAACGTTATAAACACTGAATGCTTTTATTGTGTTTTATTCTTAGTACCTGGGTGACCAAGCTTCACTCTGCGTTTTTTGAAAAATATATAAAAATTGCGTTTTTTTTTCAGAAAAGATACCTATTTAAATAAACTTAAAAAGCAAAACCGTACTTAAATACATGATCCAAATAGTTACAGCCATTTCTGAGATACAAGAAATAATTTTTTATACCTACATGTCTTATTACCGCAAGAATTACTCATTTAATAAGAATTGTTTTTTCTGTTTCAGTTATTTGTCTTTTTTTTAATATATTCTATCTATACAGATAAATTAAATTGAAGTAACTGTTTGTAATGTTAACATAACAGCTTTTTACTAAATGTATATGAAATTATATATGTTACTTATAAGAAAAACACAATTTAAAAAGTTTTTGTCTGTCTGTCTGTTTGTTCTGGCTAATCCCCTAATCGGCTGGACCGATTTTGACGAGACTTTCACTGGCAGATGGCTGATGTTATAAGGAGTAACCTAGGCTACTTTTTTTTTTAGAAAAAGAATTATGGTTCTGGGTTCCGCCTAAAAAAATTAAAATGTACCTAGGGACGAACCCGAGCGTAGCTAGGGTGAGTCGCTAGTTATTTTTATAATACTGTAACTAGTTATATGTAAGTTTCTTATATTGAATACTAGCGACTTAAGCCTCGCTTCGGGTTCGTCCCTAGACAAAAACAAATCTATCCCACGGGAACCGTATGTTTTTCCAGGATAAAAAGTAACCTATGTGCTATTCCATACTATAATCTATCTCTGTGCTAAATATTGTCCAGATCCGTTCAGCCGTTATGGCGTGAAAGAGTAACAAACATCCATCCATCCATCTTCACAAACTTTTACATTTATAGTATTAGTATGGATGTATTAAGATTATATAATTTTATATTTAAAAAAATATTTATTTTAGTTCATTGAATTTGAATGTAACGTTACTTTTACGTTATTTTCTATCATATAACATTTTAATAATAAGTTTTGTTTTTTCTGTATTTACTATAAAAATAGACTTGTATATAAATTGTCTTTTTTACATCAATTTGGGATACATGTTACTTTCAGGGTTGTAACTGTACTACGTGTGGCAAAGCATTGCACAAACCATGCTTAGATATACATATGGAGAACCAACATGACAACACTCGGAGTTCCCCGACGTTAAATTCTGATGATACCTTAATGGAGGATTTGCAAGATAACAGCAGTATAAGTACTGATAAGTAAGTTCAACACTTGATATATTATAAGTATATACATTAACTAGCGTTTTCTCGCGGCGTTTCCGCTTTAACTTAATTTTATAGAGTTACTTTGCTATAGTTACTAGTATATTGTTGTGTGATTTATGATAGCCTATAACATTTTATTTATTTATTTATTTATTATATTTTAACCCATAAGTCTTCACAAAGACTTTCCCATCTACTTTGTCTACCCGAGTTGATACCGCCCTTTTTTACTGCTATTAAAACTCCACCACCGTCTTTCTTATGATTAGATAGGGAAGATGATTCACGATCGCGTCTATATACGTGGTACCTGTCGTCAAAGATCTCGGCATCATATACACTGTCGTTAGCAAAGTCTCCGTTAAAACAATTATATCATAGTTTGAATTAAGGACTTCATTATTAACATCTGTTAAGCTAGAGCGAAGACCTCGGACATTTTGATAATAACACTTTAATGAATCGAATTTAACGTGAAATACTATACAACCACATGTTTATAATTTTATAAAATATAATAAACTACGACAAATTTAAAAGAGATTCCGAATTTTTAATAAGTTTATAGTCCGATGATTTGTTTTTCCGCATAAATACACGACCGTTCTTGATCCACACGAATTCATATTTCAATTCCTTTGCTTTGATACGCGCTTCTGCATGTAATGCCTTGGTGGCTGGTGGCAGGTGTTCAGCAACGTATATAGGATATTTTTTTCCTCCGATTCCCAAATGGCTGGTATTTAGTTTATCCTCGTTGCATTTTGCTTGTTTATTAAAAGTTATAGTCGCTGCAAGAAAGGTATCCCTAATCCTTGGGCTACTGAATTTGACTAGTACAGAGCGTGGTCGGGGACTTTCCTTGTTAAATTTCATTATTCTGCTGCAGCTCTGAATATCAGTGTCAGCAATGTTACATTTAACGGAAGCGGCCAGTTGTTTTACTGTCGATACAATATTTTCGGATCGATGCTCAGGGATACATTGAATTTCTAGGTTACTGGCTCTAGATTGATTTTCGAGTAGATTAAGTCTAGCTTGAAGGTCACTAACTGTGGTCTTTAAATTATTATTATTAGCCTGTAACAATTTAATCTCGTCGTTTTTGGCTGAAAGTTCTTTTTTAATGGTTTCATATTGGTCTTCAAGAAAGTTGATTGAAGCCAGAACTTCATTAGTTTTTGAGGTAAATTCATCCAATATACTTTTCTTAAACACGTCTAGCAACGATTTCATCTCTTCTCTAACAATAGACCGAACGTCATCAAGATCTATTTCAGCTGTAGTAGGTCCCATAATCTTTCGTTCGCTGTCTTTTATACGGCGAGTAACGTTACAACTTTGATCAGCATATTCCTCCAAAGCTGAGTTAGATAGTGAGCCTCTAATAGGTGTATTTGTGTTGTCGCTCTTTGGTCTGGCACAGATAGGACATAGCCATGTACTCTTATAGTTCTCGGTAAGCTCGGCATAGGATGTTTTGGATGTCGAAACACAGTTGTAATGATATCGCTTTTTGCATGAACGACACAACATTACTTCTGTTGAACTTGGGAGCCGATGGCAACATTAAAATTTACTCTTAGATGACATGATTATATATTTTATTTGGTTTTAAAAAAATTGTAGAAAAATTTTAATTTTACTTTGACTAGTTGGAATCGATCTCGGGTCTGCAGGTTAGTAGATCGAGAGTTCGACGCACTGCGCCAATTTGTTGCTAAAGTTTCTTGCGAAATACTGGTTCTTATGTTGAGTGAAGCGATCAATATGAGACGGTATAATGATGATAATCGTTTTTAGAGTACCTCACAGTTTTACAATTGCAGCACTATTACCGTTTTCACTTATTATTTATCACGATATAAATATTTGTACTTCGTTTATCTTTCTTGAGAATGCACTTGTCTTTATACACACTTTAACGGAGATGCACTAATTATGCTATATTTAAACAGCACTACGATCTTACTTCGGTATTATCGCCTTTTAAAAGTATTTATACGGAGCTATTGTTACGGGCGTCATTGCGTCATATGCGCGCGCTGCTCGCGCGCGCATATGACATTCCTCAAATTGGGACGAACCCGAGCCGAATGAGGGTGAGTCGCTAGTATGTATATAAAACAAAGTCGGGTTTGTTACAACACTTATAACTCGAGAACGGCTGGACCGATTTTATTGTCTGTATTTTGTTGGATTTGTCTTCACCACGAACAGCAGAATAACTACTAAAACATTGGAAATATTCACGAAAAAAATAAATTAAAAAAATCTATTCTATACTAAGCCTCAAAACGTACCTAGAGCCGAAGCTGAGCGAAGCGAGGGTGAGTCTAGTATGATAATGTGAGATTTACGTCTGTGAGATTTACGTCTGTAGGTAAACAAGAATTACAATATGTAACTTGATCTTGACATAAGTACCTAATTCTAAAAAAATAATTATGTTTTTTATAAAATAGGTAAATTTCGCGGACAAGCTTTTATCTATACATATAATAAAAATCTGAACATTAAATATTTTTTAGAAAATCTTATTGAAATAGTCATTATTATCGATACAGAGGCCGAATCTCTAGTTTTTAGATTTTTTATTTGTATGTCTATTTGTCTGTCTGGAAACGCATCACGAGAAAATCTCTGAACAGATTTTGATGAAATTTAGTAAGGTGATAGCTGGTTATCCAGGTCAACATATAGGATACTTTTTACTGCGAGAAAATATCTCATTTCTGAGAAAAAATACAAAAACTGCATTGTAAGAGTATACTAATATTTAAACCTAAGAATTTGGTTTTTAGTCATCTGAACGCTGGCGGAGCCGGGGGCAATGCTAGTTAAGAATAAATCACTACAGCTGTCATCGTTTTCCTTTTATTTATACTTTTACCTATTTTAGCTTATTTACCATAATCCTATACTAGTTTCCATTATTAAGCGTTAAAACGTATCTTATATTTAAAATAGTGTAATATATTACATTATAACTTTAACATTGATTTAATTTAACGTTAAAAAAGGGCTGAATATTTTTTTTAAATTAGAAATTCTATTTCCAGTTAGAAACTATATTTTTTAAACTAGGCAATTTGAGTTTTTATCAAAATCGGTCTCTTGACACTTGACTTTGAGTATATCTAGTTGTTATTACCAACAAATTCCAACAGGTACCAACAGATAGAAAATATCACTAGCTAATTAAAAAATTACAGACAGATAACATTTTATTTTTTATATTGCAGGGAAGCGGAATTATTGAACAGTGACGATGGTCTCGAAACTCAGGAACCAGTTTCAAAGAAGAGAAGGATGATTATTTCTCTATCTGATAGTGATGAGTATTAAAATAAATATATATATATATATATATATATATATATATATATATATATATATATATATAATATGTATGTATTTAAAGTTAAATATGTATAATGTATCAACTATCTGGTATTTATTATAATTTAAATATGTTACCGGCCAAACTAGATTGCAAGTTCAAACGGGTTCACCCAAAGTGTGTCAGGATTTGACTTTGCCATTTCTGCATGCAATTCTTTCATCTGAGTCATTGATATATAAAAACATACATACACATTTCCTAACAAATATCTCTTAAAAAATGATGTCCAACCAAAAAAAATTTTTTCGCGAATTTATTTTGATTTTTGGTTTGCGACGTTTCGAATAAAACATAAAGAAATAAAAACATTTGTTGTTGTTTTTTAAATAATAACAAACTAAATTAAAATTATTATTCTTAATTCATTTTAACTTTTTAAACTACGCATAGAACAATAATGTGGCTTGAATAATTAATATTTTATTTTTCTTTGTTAATAAATATAATTATGGCAACACTAAATATAGATTACTAATTAATAAGTTTTTATTATGAAAAATTGTAATAATTATAATAATAACAGCTAAAATTAAATAAATAATATTCGACATTCAGTTGTAATTATAAAAATGTTTTAAAATTAAATTAACAAATATTGTATGGTACTTTGGTGCCATTTTTCAATTTTTTGAATTCATTTTGTTATTTTGTGAATAGGCTGTCTGTAACAACTATATAATACCTTAGAGACATCTAACACCTCAGTCTCTCCCGTGACCATAATTGTTGTAAAGTATTCGAAACGTCGAGAACCAAAAATCAAAATAAATTCTTGAAAAAATCCAAAAAGATAGTTTTATTTAAAATTAGAAATACTGGTCTGAGCGACAACTGTGCAAGTTATGACTGATAGCTTATTTTCATCTGTTAAATTACATTTAAAACTTGAACTGATTCAAATAATTTTTGGCCTTTTTTATCGTTTTGACTTCTAATCCGATCAATTTTTATTGGTAAAAAAAAAACAATTTTATTATTTTTTGTAATATTTAGGCATAACTAATTTTATTTATTACACTGTTTACATCAATATGTTTTTCTTATTTAACACCAAGGCACTTTATTTTCGACAGAAGTGCTGCCCTCTATAGTTCCGGCACACTCCCTATAGGCTGGTTTGGATGAGGAGTACAGAAGTGATAAACGGCTTTAAATTGACAACACGTTTAAACGTTTTAAACTGTAAGACCAAATTTTAAAGTTTATTTTCTTGCGCTCTTACAATCTAAACATAGTACCATTTCAAGGGTAGAATTTCTTTGTTAAACTAATGACCTACATATACTTATACCTACTGTTACGAAACAAAAAGGGCGCCATATCCACTTGGGATTTGGCGCACATTTATTAGTATACTTTTTGTCATCTCATACTGTATATGGTGTAATAACTTTGTTCTAGCAAATAATATGTACTGGGAATTATGAATTTAGTTATTTAATGGATAAATTAGATATAGGTATCATTACAAATGTAACATCCTTATAATATGACTATTTACGTCTCTAGGTTAGTTTTAATTATTTTAAGCGGAACCGTAATTATTTTTCTAAAATAAAAATAACATAAGTTACTCCTCATAATATTAATTATCTGCCAGTGAAAGTCCCGTCAAAATCAGTCCAACCGTTTCGGAGATTAGCCGAAATAATTTTTCAATTATTTTATTAATTTATCATTCCTTTTACAAACAGAGAGTCGTGGGATAAAATACGGGATGAAATACATATATTATTAAAAATAAATACATATATGAAATACATATATTAAAGCTAGCATTATCTATACATCTATACAGATAAATAAAATTGAAGTATCTGTTTGTAATGTCAAAATATAATGTATTTATAAGAAAAACACATTTTTTTTAATTTGTCTATGTGTTTGTTCCGGCGAATCTCCGAAACGGCTGGACCGATATTGACGGGACTTTCACAAGCAGGTAGTTGATATTATAAGAAGTAACTTAGGCTACTTTAATTCAGTAAAAGAATTAGGGTTCCGCTCAAAAAATTTAAAACGTTCCTAGGGACGAACCCGAGCAAAGCGAGGGTGAGTCGCTAGTTAAGTAGTAATAATCAAATGTATTTTTATAATTTGTGTACATAAATGGATTCGCATAGATTGTCTATTTTATTAACCGACTTCCAAAAAGGAAGAGGTTCTCAATCCGTCGGAAACCTTTTTTTATGTATGTTCACCGATTAGTCGGAGACGCCTGAACCGATGTGGATTTTTTTTTGTTTCAAAGGATATATTTCCCAGTTGGTCCCATATAAATTTTATCGAAATCGGTCGAACGATTTTAAAAAAATCAACAATAAATATTTTTTTAAAGAAATTGTTTAATCGAATATGTTATTAAAAAACGTTCTTCTTACAAATGACCTGCTTCGTCGTACGTCTACACTAAAAATGGAAAAATAAAAACTTAAAAATAACCGCCTTCCAGGCACTTAAATGTAAAAAATAACTAAACGGAGGTTTTAATTTAGAATAGATACCTAATCAGATATTTTCGAAGTCGGTGCCAGCCTACTATATTTTAGGATATGAATATCTAATTGGTAATTATATATTTTACGTATCGAAATATAATAAATTTGCTTTGCATCGGCTCTTAAGTTTCAGTAACAGCCCGGAGTTGGGAAGTTGGCTGTGTTTCACCCCCGTGCCTCGGAGAGTAAGTACGCAAAGCCGTCAGTCCTGCGCCTTAATTCTCACCGGACGTGTCTCGTGTCGTCTCACCGGAGTAGGTATGAGTGACAGGAATAGAGAGTGCACTTGTGTTTGCGCGCACACTTGTGGATATAATATCTCCTGCGCAGATGGCTAGTCTCAATGAGACTGGCTGCCGTGGCCGAAGTTCGGGTTATTATCAAGAAAAATCTAATGATGTATGAATTATTAAAATTGGTTGCGCCGATTAGTAACTCCGAGGGAACATAGAATCTGACATACATACATACAGGTCAAACATAACGCTCCTTTGGGCTTCGCCGCAGTCGGGTAAAAATAACAAAGATAGGTTTTTTAGATTATTATTTTTTATTTATCATCTAATATAAAAATTATATAGCTAAATAAACATTTTCTACTTTTCTTCGAACAAGTTTAGCAGACTGTGGGTAAAAGTCAAGTAAATATTTCCATTCATCTAGTATCAAGTATACCACGTCGACAACTGTGCGCGCTCGGAACGAGAAGTGGTGTGTGACTCCTACAAAAAGTCCCTGTCAAATGTACATTTATATTTAAGTTACTTGTTATTAATGTTTATTGGCTTACAGAACTAAAAGAATATTTTTCTTGTATTCAGTCCTTTTTATCGTCACGGATACCAGTTTCCCTTGCGGGGATCAGGCAATAGTCCATCACGCTGGCTGGTGGGGTTAGCGGTTTGGCGACTTCACAAGTCTTTCGGAAACTAGTTAGGTTTTTAGAAATGCAGGTTTCCTCATGACATTTTCATTCATCGTAAGGCAAGTAAGTAATAATCGAGGAGAAATTATTCGCACATAAAAATATCAGAGGTGCAAGACTCGAGATTTGAACCCTTTACTTGGTTTCCAGCTTTCGCGCTGACGCTGGGCTACCACCGCCTAAATAATATCTTATATATATATAATTCTTCTGTGAGTGTGTATGTCACTGAACTTCTCTCAAACGACTGGACCGATTTTGATGAAATTTTTTGTGTGTGTTCAAGGGGATCTGGGAATGGTTTAGATTCACAATTTGAATAATAATTTTCATCAAAAAAATTATTAAAAAAAGTTTGAAATTTTCAAATTAAAGACGTGTAGACAGGACAACGTCTGTCGGGTCCGCTAGTATGTATATATTTTATAAACGCTACCTGCGCCACCCCAAAACTATCCTCAGGTCCCAAGATATCGTAAATAGATTCTGTCAAATTTTGATGCACTGTTAACACCTCGACCTGAAAACATATAAGAAACCTCATAAAATATTAACAAACAATGAACCTTTTCCCCTTGTTTATTTAAAACAGAAGAACTTATATAATAAAAGAGCGATCCACCCTCAGTTTACGAACCAGTAAAACAAGTTTTAAAAGTGTATCGTTTGGGCCGATAGATAAGTAGATGGCCATGGCCTACAGCAGAATTTGCCAGGAGGGGTGCATTTTCTTCACATTAAATTACTACGTAATCTTTAAATGATTCACTTTTTAATTTTTATACATCATCATCATCTCCCAATTACAAGTAATCCAAGGAACTCCAAGGAGTCGGCGCAGTACATCTTCCGTACTGCTGATAGGATAATTTTTATACATAATGTAATAATATTTCTTTTAAACATTTGTGAGGATTTTTTTTATGTTTTCTTCGCAGATATCTTTTAAACAGGAATTTTACGAATAAGTATAATTTTATTTTGTTAACTTTTAGGTATATTCTTCTAAATGGTAAGAGGGTGCAAGTGCACCTTGCATCCTCCTCTCGGCGTCAAAGTAAAAGCTTTAAATAAGAAATTACGATGATACTTTGAAACAAAATGATGGCTAGTGGTAAAATATAAAAATATACACCTCTCCTCTGTGTATGAAGTAAATGCACTGATCAGCGTCGCCTCTTTGAACAATATAATTTCCAGGGAAAAAAACACAATGTTTTAACCACATAGATAGCATTCTTTTAAAATCATCACTAGTTTTTCTAAATATTAACGATTCACGTATATGACTTCCGTATACGGCTTGCATTACTTGGCAGCGAAGTCTAAATGGCAACTTATATACTAATTTGGGCATCTGAAAAATATTCAATAGATTGAAAAAATCTTAAAAAGATGTCTAAATTTAGAAATCAATGCGAATATGATTACATCACTTTGTATATCCATGTTATACATATGATTCAATAATTTTAATAGGTGTATTTTTAAACAGGTAACTAGTAATAGTATATGTTGGGCAGTATGTATGTACGTACATACGTATGTACCTACCAATTTATTCTTAGCTTTTCTAGGTTTTCCTATGTACTAACTTAGATTGTGTAAAGAAAATTACTTATATAGGTACTTGATAATACCTGTTTTCCCTGTTGTCTATTCCATAATTCACGAACGTAGTCCCACATTTTGTTCATTTGATGGTCACTTAAGTCTGTGTCGCGAAGTCCATCTCTTAATTCGTTAATACCGTAATCATATTCAATGCGCGAAGACGAGTGTGCAGTTATCATAGCGGACATTTCAGATATTAACAGGCCTAAAATGATTATATAAATATATTTTTCAACTAGCATTGCCCGCGGCTCCACCCGCGTTCAGATGATCAAAAATCAAATTCTTAGGTTTTACATATTAGTATATGTATATACTCTTACTTAGCAGTTTTTGTATTTTTTCTCAGAAAGGAGGCATTTTCCCGCGATGAAAAGTATCCTATATGTACCCAGATAACCAGCTATCACGATACCAAATTTCATCAAAATCCCTCCAGTGGTTTTTCCGTGATGCGGTAACAGACAGACAAAAATATTAAAAACTAGATTTGGCCTCTGTATCGATAATAATATTTATTTCAATAAGATTTTCCAAAAAATATTTAATGTACAGAATCAGCTTAGTTACAATTTTAGTATATTTATAGGAGATTACATTAAACTAAAAAAAAAAAGAGTTCCGAGGCTAAAACGCAAAAAAACGGTATCCTTATCAATGCGTCATGTTCGTGTGTCATAGTCATTTTTTGTTGTTTTTTTGTTGTTTTGCATATGTTGTTGTGGAGCTTGTCGAAGTTATTTATAAGTAAATGATTTCGAACATATTTTCTTCTCAAGCTAAAAAATTATAATAAAATAAGCTTCTAATAAGCTTATTAATAAGCTTCTATGGAGTAGATGGAAACTTCCAATTTAAACTTCCCGATCTTTTTACTCTTTTACATATGTACCTATAAGTACAGTTATATAGCTATAACTTTATTCATATTATATTTTATTTATATATTTATATTTAATCATATTTATATATAGCTTTATTCATGCAATATGCAAAAAATAAAAGACTATAAGTAGTACTGTTTTCTTTTGTTTCGGATGCTATTTCAGCGGGATACTTCTTACTCTTACTTCTTTTAGTGAGTTGGATTCTACTAAAAGGAGGAGATGACCATATTTCAAAGATTACATCATAAATAGCTGTCCCGGCTGTCATTTATGTTAGCCACATTGGTGACGTTTTGTCAAAGGTTTTGTAGGTAAATAATTTATTATTTACCTTAACGTCATTTTAACTTTAAAACTAGAAATAAGAATACCTGTACAGAATTTGATAATGATCGTTATAAATACAGTTTCGATAACTTCGACATCATTTTGTGCTGAAACATCTCCCGTTCCATTGATAGTCAACAAATTTATCATGTACCATAGAGAAGCAATGTAAAGTGGGAAAAAGTTTTTCTGAAATGATATAGTAGTATTTTCATTATAAACAAAATGATTTTTTTCTTCTAATGAATACGAGTGTTAATAAATAAGTTGTTCCATAAAACTTTCTCAAATCTTAATATTTTAAGTAAATAAAAAAATAACGTGTGTGTGTACTTATGTACACACGTAAGAAGTTATACTTCATTTCATCCCGTATGTCACAACACTCTGTTTGTAAAAGGATACGATAAGTATAGCTAACTTCATCATGTCGCTTTTTGGCTGTCGATGCGGTCATATTTTTTTCCAAGCGTATCAAAAGAAGTATAACTTTAATAACAACAAAACTAAAGCATTAGTATATACTAACTGAAGTACTAAAAACTCATTTAGTTTAATAAATAGGTTTGAAAGCTTACCTGAGCGTAACTAGCCCTAAGATTTAGTTCTTGTTTTGATATCCAATTGGCTGATGTACATTGAACCGGTGTAAGACAAGACATTTTAAAAAATAAACATGCGTTTACATGAGTTAGAAGTGAAGCCCATATACCAATTGTTCTTTAATAAAAGTTAATGGTTAAATAGTATAATGATATCGATATGTACCTAACGCTCTAAAAAATTTTGTTTTCCAAAGATTGATAAAAAGATTGATTGGTATCTCCCGTGATCATGATTGCTGTAAAGCATTCGAAACGTCGGGAACCAAAAATCAAAATAAATTCACGAAAAAATCCGAAAAGATAGTTTTATTTCAAATGTCAAATATTCGCGTAAATCTAAGAAAGTATTATTAGATTGATAAAAATTAGCGTTTTATTTTGTTTCATCTGTTGAACTCCGATTTTATGTTTGACATAAGATACATAGAGATATCATGAATCATGGTATTGTTTTTAAAACATGTGACCTTGTTTATAATATAAAAAATTGTAGATATTGTTATTGGAGGTTTTCTGCAAACAGCGCTGTAACAGTCACTTGATAAGTTGACAGTGTTGAATTATGGTGATTGATGATGATTATCCCACAGGACTATGAGAGAGAAAGGATTAGCCGTTTCTTAAATATGTAAGTAGACCAGGAAGATTTTATTAAAATAGAAGAAAAATATATTTTATTTATAAATATTCTAGCGCTTATCTAATATTTAAGGGAAACGAGAGCAATTTTAAAAACGCTGAAAGTCGCTTGGAATAGACCAAAGGAATTCTCAAACTTGATAAAAAAAATTGTGTACGGGTAGGTACCTATATCGATTATTTATTATAGTGACCGCAGACCGTCGGTAATGATAATAGCTATCATGAAAAAAACTTCAGATATAATAAATATGTAACCTAACATACTTTGAATTCATTTGTTAGTATCTATAGTATGGAGTATGACTATAGTTTTAATGTTCGTATGTATTTTATTGATAGACTAGCGACTCACCCTCGCTTCGCTCGGGTTCGTCCTTAGGTTGTTTCCCCGTACAAACTTTTATCCCCATTTTCACCCCTTTAAGGGATGATTTCCGGGATAAAACGTAACCAGGGTCTCAAACTATCTTATTACGAAATTTCATCTAAATCGTTTTAGTAGATCCAGTCTCCAGAGATTACCCCGTACAACGTCACAAACTCACAATTCACAAACTTTACCGCTTTATAATATTCGTATATTAAGATACTAAAAGAAAAATCTTACGTTAACTTTAAAAATAAATTTGCAGATCCGATATTGATTTTTCTATGTTGTTTATATGTGAATACATAGGAAATTCTCATTAGTTGAGGAGACCGCATGTAACAAAATAGTGCATTCTGAATAGATGGCCGAAGCGATAAAGCAAAGGCTAGATAACATATTGGCAAGATTGATAAAAAGTCACGTCTTCGAAGGTATACTTTAGAAAAGTACCTGTAAAAATATATTAAAACATTTAAAGTAACAACCATGTTATTAAAACTAAAGTTAAATGTCATTTAGCTTAATTATTTTTTTCTTTAGGAACTAAAAGCTTAATTAAAAACACGACACTTAAAACTATTCCTTAGTACTTACATTTGTCGCACTTTTTTCGGTTTTAGAACATAATCTCCGTATCTATTCATGTATCCACTATGTATGTCTAAGAAGACTTTATAAAGAAAAACAATATCAATCACAATGCATATATAAAAGAAATATGGGTTAGATAAAAATGCCATCTGGTACACAAGTATCATAAAGTCTATGTATGATAAGAGCATTATTAGATAATCTGAAAAAAAATAAACTTATTAACATTGACGCTAAAAGACTACTAGCTGAGTGGTAACGCGTTTGCTCGGGAAACCAAGTGAAGCAGGTTCAAATTCCGACTCGCAGCTCTGATATTTTGAGCGATTTTTTTTTATGACGGAGGAAAGCATCGTAAGTAAACCTGTACGTTTGATAGAACCTAAGTACCAAGTTTTTGAAATATATGTGAAGTCCGCCACCGGCACGTGGTCAGCGTGTTGGATTTTGGCCCTCGCAATGAAAGGAGGCCCGTGTCCAGCAGTGGCGTCCCATCCCGTGTTATAATAATGAAATATTTCATCCCGTCGGAAGAAATATTTTATGTTTATAATATTGACGATCGTCCAAAACTACTACTGTGATGCTTTAATCAATTTGAAGACTGAATCTCCGTTCAAGCCGAATATGTGTACCTATTAGATAATGCATGCTTATTATTAATGTGTGTAAATATCTTGTTATTTGGTGAACCGGCAAAAAACTTTTAGTAACAACTTATACATATAAAAGTAAATAACACTAAAATAGTACCTACCAATAAATGTGACCCATTTACAATCTGGTATTACGCTGCTACGAAACCATCTGTAACAGAAATATGTAATACATGATTTAAATAGGTAGGTAGGTAATTTTTTTTAATAAACTAAACAAATGTTTTAAAGACTTAGATAATATGTACCATAACTACATAGCATTTGAAATTACATACAAAGATATTACAGATATTTTCAAAATTAGTACATATATCTAATTTTAACTAAGTTAAATCCTCTGCTTTCATACAAAAAATTACAACAATCCTTCGCTTAGGTTTGGCGTGAAAGGAGGAGAATCAAATAAGCAAACACTTGCAATTATAATATTAGTATAGTCTAGACGAACCCAGGTACTTTTAGATATATTAATTTTAAACAACCTAATATTTAAAAAATAATACTCGTAGAGTCAAAATGAAATTACCTGTGTGGACTAAATATTAACCAAACAGCTGATATATAATCGGCGCTCCCTCCAGAAGCGATGGATCTTGATCCATGTGACTCGGGAATACTCCTATCAGGGCTCTATTACATTAATTGTTATACATTACACATTTGCTTTCTTTCTACCTTTCCATATGTCTAATATTATTAATTACTAAAGTGTTTGTTTGTTCCTGACAAGCAGTTCTGTCAATACTAGGATAATTAACTCGTGTATGGCCTGAAACCCACACCAGAATCGAACCCACAATCTTTGGTTAGTTAGAATTTCTTTTGTCTTGTGGTATTTGTTGAGTACATAACTAGTGAAATTGCTTCATTAAGATTCTATCTATTTACACAGCATCTTAGCAAAACTTTAGCAGTAAACAAGCAGGTAAACAAATAAAAAAACATTCAAATACCTTATTGCATACTTTAAATATTATTTAATATTAATATTATTGATATTTTAAAATTACATTTGTACATATGTGAAAATCTTTTATAGTTGTACAGTGTTGTAATTCTCTTTTTTATAAACTAGATAAGGATTACTATATTATATTACAGACTCACGTCTAGGAAAATATTTGGATCAATTTCATCGTCATCATCGTCTTCATCTGCCTCATATGTGAGAGGATAAACCTCTGACTGAAATTAAACTCTACTTAATACGACAACTGTAACTGTACAATTAAATATAGCTAACTGCCTCACTTACTTCTATACTAGATTTTTCAGATATTACTGTGGGGAGGACATAATCCTTCGTAGCAGAGTCAACTGAATGTTTTACTTTTCTTAAAACAGATGGATAGCTCTGAAATCATTTATTATCAACTAGCATTGCCCGCGGCTCCGCCCGCGTTCAGATGACCAAAAACTAAATTCTTAGGTGTTACATATTAGTATACTCTTACATTGCAGTTTTTGTATTTTTCCTCAGAAATAAGATATTTTCCCGCGGTAAAAAGTATCCTAGGATCGCGCGCTACATCGCCCGGTTTATATAGCTTGAGCAGGCGGTCGAGCGATGCGGGGCAGAGGGGATGGACTCGCCGTAGGCATCTCAATGCTCGCCAAGCATTAAAAATGTTTCGCTACTAATTACTTCTAACAACGATATCTCAAAAACTATTCATCTGATTGATTTAGTGTAAAGAGCAATTTTAATCTGCATTAAATGACTAAGCTAACTAAAATATTCATTTGGATAAGGATTAATACCGAACTAAAGAAAATAACTTTGAAAATAACGTAATGTTTTTAATTAAAAATGTTAACATAAAAGTGGTTATTGTAAGTCAACCGTAAGAGATAGAGATATGCTATCGCGGACTTTTTTGTAGCATTTTTATAGATTTTGAATTCTCTAGTACATTACTTAACTGTATCTTTGCTAGTTTACGCGGCGTTCGCGTGGAAAGTTCCCATTTGGCGAGATTTTTTGCGACCTCTTCAACATTTGTCGCCGTATTTCAGCTAATTTACATAAAAGCATAATAAATTATATACCTAAACCTTCCTCAAGAATTACTCTTTCTATTGTTGAAAACCGTATAAAAATCCGTTCAGTAGTTTTCGAGTTTATCGCGTTCAGACAGACAGGAGGACAGACAGGAGGACAGAAAGACGCGGCCGGGGGACTTATTTTTATAATAAGTATAGATTTATAGATAAGTAAATAATAATCTATACATATAATAAAATTCTAACTAAGTCGAATCTGTACATTAAATATTTTTTGGAAAATCTTATTGAGCCAAACATTATTATCGATACAGAGGCCGAAACTTTAGTTTTTAGAATTTTTGTCTGTCTGTCTGTTACCGCATCACAGAAAAACCACTTAAGGGATTTTGATGAAACTTTGTATGGTGATAGCTGGTTATCCGGGTCAACATATAGGATACTTTTTACCGCGGGAAAATATCTCATTTCTGAGAAAAAATACAAAAACTGCATTGTAAGAGTATACTATTATGTAAAACCTAAGATTTCATTTTTGGTCATCTGAACGCGGGCGGAGCCGAGGGCAATGCTAGTTTTTAATATAAAAATACAGTTAAAAAAGATTAAACAACTTACTTTCAAAAGTGCATAAAACTCCGAACCTCCTATGTACAACAAATCAATATTCCTAGAAGCCACAATATTAGAAATTGATAAATACTTGACCGCACCACGAATGTTTCCAAATATCCCCCCTGGTCCCATGCAAGCCTCCACTTCGTTAATATTGGTTATAACGTCCACCTTAAAAATCAACGCTGAGAATTCCAATAAAACAACGAAAATAATAATTTTACGCATTTTACATACTTTACCGCGATAAATTATATACATGTTGCTTAAGACCTCATTAGATCTCATGATCATATAACCTTTTTGGAAATATCGCTCTTTAAGTTTTTTCGCAAAAGCTCTAAAGAAAGAATACTCGACGTCTTCAAATAACGGTATTTCCCGCAGAGTTTTTTCGTACATATATAATACGGCGTCTTCGTTTAAGTTGGCATGTAGTTTACCCAAAATTTTTTGATGCTGTAATTGGAGAACAGGCTTTTGTAGACGTTTTTAACTTAATTAAAATAATTATAAATATCAGACATTTAAGAAATTTTAATTTATATATATTTTATTAAGTACTAGCGAACAACAGTAAAACGTACCTAGGGACGCACACTATACATATTGTTATGACAATCATTACGTCTTTTTTAACCAAAAACGCCTATATATTCTTCTATTCTAATATTATAAAGAGGAAAAAATTGTATATTTGTTTGTTTGTATCGAATAGGCTCTGAAACTACTAAACTGATTTAGATGAAATTTGGTAAGAAGATAGTTTGAGACCCTGGGAAGGACATACGATAGTTTTTATCCCGGAAATCATCACTTAAGGGGGTGAAAGTTTGTATGGGGAAGCAATCTAGGAACGAACCGGAGCAAAGCTAGGGCGAATCGCTAGTCTAGTAGATTTTAGTAACATAGTGCGGATTCGTATTAAAATTTGCTTAATGATTTGAAGGTACATAATTATTTTAATATTAAAACAACTTATTACATGTTAAAATAATACGAAATATTGTTGAATGTTTTTGGCAAAACAATAGCTTGGTACTTATAGGGTCTTACCGACCATCCACCTGTTCTTTTCCATTGATATTTCCAATAGTCAATAACCGTCTTTTTTAAAAGATAAGGTACTCTCTCTCTATTTAAAAATAATTGTAAATGTTTTAAATTTTCTTGGAACGTTGTGACTACTTGATCGGCCATTGCTTTCAAAGACGCTATGCGGGCGTAGACATACCTGTAGATAAGTTATTTTAATGAATTCAAAATGATAACGATTTCTAAATTTAACGAAAATTTAAGAAATTTAAGAAACAGTTTCAAATATTTGTTTAGGAACTATGGTTGGAGGGTATTTCTAATTAATGGAAGAAGAATAATAAATTTATAATCGCGCAACATCTAAGGAATAAAAATAGAAATTTTATTGATGTACGAATAGTAGCGTAAATGAAAGGTTTGTTAAAAGATGAGTTCATCACCTATTTAAAAATTTAATATAGGTATAAAACTGAAGACTTCGTATTTTTTTATTTGTTTGAACAAAAATCTTTGTTTGTTTTGTCTCTGGAGCTACTAGTTGGATTTAAAAACTCTTTCGTTGTATTTTATAGCCAATTTATTGAGGAAGTTTATATACTTAGCAGCGGAGCATACATACATATATAAACTGCACGGGAGGAGGCACTTTTTTGCGCTTTTGTACAAAATGAAATGACAAACATTTACAAATTATTAATTGCAAAAGATTTTTTACATTTAATTAGATTACATTTCATATCAATAATACGTTTCATATACCCAGCACTTTAGGTAATGTGAGAAAAGCTTACTACCTTATTTGGATAGGGCAAGAAACTATGACGAATAAAACAACCCACCCGAAAAACAAAACTCCATGTATGTTGATGCAAATTGAGAGTATCATGTGGGCGGTGTCCTGAGCCGTGATATCACCGAAGCCAGCGCCAGTGAAGCTTGTAGCTGCCCAATAATAAGCAAGCAAATACACCTTTGTCGGAGTTAAAGATGCCTCTTTGAAAATTTTCCCACTGTCTATCCAAGAACCTGTTAATAATTAATTGATTATATTAAGATTATTTAATCATTAATTTTTATTCATCAAATGAATTCAAACCGAACTGGAGAGACACAATTTCATTATTTTATTTATACAAGTTTTATTTTTATGCTGTACCTACCTATTTTGTTTAATGTGTAAGTTATATTTGATAACTAGCATTGCCCGCGGCTCCGCCCGCGTTCAGATGACCAAAAACCAAATTCTTAAGTTTTACATATTAATATAATCTTACATTACAGTTTTTGTATTTTTTCTCAGAAATGAGATATTTTCCCGCTGTAATAAGTATACTATATGTTGACCCGGATAACCATCAAAATCCCTCCAGTGGTTTTTCTGTGATGCGGCGACAGACAGACAAACAGACAAAAATTCTAAAAACTATAGATTCGGCCTCTGTATCGATAATAATGTTTATTTCAATAAGATTTTCCAAAAAATATTTAATGTACAGATTCCGCTTAGTTACAATTTTATTATATGTAAGTATAGATTGAAAAATCTGCCCTAGTATTTTTTATTTAAAGTTTTTTACTTCGTTTTTCAAGTAATTTCTTTCAAGGGTGTTATACCGATATTTCACTCTTCTTTTTTCAATATTACATGTTTATTGGCAAATCGTAGCTTAAAATTTTGTTTTAAATGACGTTGTGGCGCCACAAATGGCAAAAATCAACAGTAAGAGCTTCTATTAGACGAGCGCAAATATTGGTATAGTCGATACAAATAATATCAGTAAACCTTGCGGTAAATAACCAGCAGTTTGCACCTAACAGTAGCATTTAGGCGGCTGTTACAAGTTATATTTCTTACTAGCGACTCACCTTCGCTCGGGTACGTCCCTATTTACGTTTTATCGGTTAGTATGGGAAATTTGGGCTGTATATTATATGATATATAGCCTATAGCCTTCCTCAATAAACATGCTATATAATGTAGAAAGAATTTTTCAAATCGGATTAACAGTTCCTGAGATTAGCGCGTTCAAACAGACAAACTCTGCCTCTCTATAACAGTATGGAACTATCTATAGATGACAATGGTAGCGCAAACCGTGACCATAGAAGTATGTTCGTAAATATATTCTATTATTTAGAAAATAACATCTATACTAATATTATAAATGCGAAAGTTTGTTACTCTTTCACGCAAAAACTACTGAATGGATTTTAAACAATAATATAAGCTCATACATCAGAATAATATGTAGGGTACTTTTTATCAGTGTAAAAGTGTACAGTTCCCCTGACATTTGTTTGTTTTTGTTTTACTAGAGGTGAAGCGATATAAAATCTGAATGAAGCGACGGTGAGTCGCTAGTTACCTACATATAAATGCGAAAAAACTCCGGAAGGAGAATCATATCTATAGCTTTTTTTTAAATACCTGTATGTAAAAGTCGTATTACTTGCATTTAGATTTAGTATTTTATGTAAATATAATTATCAACAAAGATGTAAACCAAAGTTAAACACAGGAGGTTCCTGAGTTGTTTCTAGATTAATTAAAAAAATTTTGTGCCATAGACAATCTTACCCAGTTTACACACCATATTCCCTTCAGGATTAAAAGTAGTTTCCATATATGGTCCATGTAATGACAAAGTCTTAAGTTTTCTAACAAAGTCGTCATTATCATAAGCTACTATATATCTGCATGACATGGTTATTAAAATCGAAGTATAAAGATTTAAAAAAAATAAGGTAAGTAGAAGAAATTGTACAACACTCATGAGATATGCCTGTAAAACAAAAAAAAAGTGTATAAATAATAAGAAGCAAACATCCTGAAAAAGAAACAAAAATAAAAATAAAATAATGTAAGAAAATCATTTTAGACCAATATAACATCGTAGAACTTTTGCGCTTTTTACTAGAATTAAAAAATATATATGTAATTCATTTCCTTTTGGTGACTGTAGAAGGCAAGGAAAGTTTCGTAAACTTTATTTTTGTAAAAATGATGATGATGCCCTCCTGACCAATTTCGGCCACGGCAGCCAATCTCACTGAGAATAGCCTTTATAATTAATTATAGAATTAATTAGACAAATAAATAAATATGTTGGGACATTAACACACATCACCATCTAGTTCCATGGTAAGCTACGAGGGTTGTGTTATGGATATCAGTTGATACACTACACATATGTAGCTTTAAATACATACATACATATTATAAATAAGTATAATCACCAAGGACTGGAGTACAATCATTCGTGCTTGTCACACAAATGAATGCCCCCAGCGGGATTCGAACCCGCGAATTTTATAGTATAAAATCTCTATAAAAGTATATTTATGTATTTCGATATTCCTCATATTGTTATAATGTATAAGTACTGCTTAAGTATGCTGCATAGGTGTGATAAGATTTTCTATGATTTAAAATATCTGAAATAATATGAATTATTTATATTTCTACATAATAAAATACGATTGCATCAAGATCGTTGTAAATGACTGTTTTAAAACTCATATCATGCGTGAATATTCAAACCGATTGTCTCAATCTGAAGAATAGGATATTTTTAATGATCTATTGTAAAATGATTTTCCATAATGGCGGTATTGTTCTGTGAGTTCGTATTTGATTTAGATGTAATGTTTTTTCAGTACTTAATGACCCTATAAATGCTGTTAGTTGATTGATTCATGAGATTAATTAACTTTATTTAACCAACGTTTTCGCTTTGTCTCATTAGTTTGCTGTATAAAATTGGCAATTGATATACTTATTTCTTTAACGTTGGCATATATTTTTAATTAAAATTAAATGGGATGTTTTTAATTTAAAACTAGCGTTTTCCCGCGGTTCCAAACGCGTTATTTGTCTTAGTATAATGTTAGATAAACTTCCTCAATAAGTATGAGATAATTTTCGCTATAAAACGCAGAAATAATTTTTCAATACGATCCAAAGGTTAGCGCGTGCAAACAAACCAACTCTTCAATAAATTAATAAAGATACCTTACTATATTTTAAATGTTTATTTAGATATTTCTACTTACGACCGATAGAAGTACGTGAGTCATAATTCCGATTTCCGAGACCGGTTAAGTTTGGCAATTCCTATAAATAAGTATGATATTATCATGTTATAAATACACTTACCCGTTTTAATGCGCCTATAGATTCCGCCCAAAATGCAGCGTATAGTTTGTAGATTTGTGAAACATTCGCCATCCGAATAATGCAATGGTACATGTGATAGCTTATCATATGGTCTTCTTCGCTATGGTTTTCATCGTGTCTAGGTACAAATAGTTTCCACAACGCGTACCAAGGGAAACAAGTGAGAATATCTGCTGCAAATGTTCTCTGTTGGAAAAATATATTGAAAATATTTAAAATTACTACCATTCTCAATATCAATCTATTTAGTCTATTTTATCAATATTCTTCAATTTTACCACTCTTTTTTTCGACGTCATATTTAGTAGATACTAGTAACTTACCCTCGTCTACTACTAATTTTCTTAATTTATAAACTACTACCAATAAAGTTCCCAGTTAGCATGATTTTTTTCGATATCTTAAACAGTCATCGTCATATTTCAGCCAATTTACACAAGACTAATCACTCAATCAAAAGAATGTCTTAATCTATTGGTGAAAACCGTATGAAAATCTGTGGAGTAGTTTTTGAGTTTATCGCGTTCAGACAGACAGACAGACAGACGCGGCGGGATAATATATGTATAGTGATACTACATACACATACACATACACACAAGCAACATACTGTTAAATAATTTTTTGCAGTCAAGTAAGGATGATAAATAAGCTGATTCTTGGGACCATAATACGCTACGTGCAACATTACATATAAATCCACGTAGCAAATATATTCAAGCATAATAATTGCCATATTAAAATGTTTGCAAGTTGGTGCCATTGATACCACAATCTGAAAAAGGTTAACACGGAAATATATCTAATATAATAATCAATAAATCTTTCACTAATTATAGCGACATTAGCGTTTGTACAAAGATTTCATCCTTACATAGAATTATAGCCATATAAGTAGTTATACTTAACCACTTATCTAACAGATATCAAATTCATTGCCTTTTTTATATTATCGTATGCTTGCTGTCAGTGGAAAATAAGGTAAGGTTTCGATTAACCTTTGAAAATTTTGGAAGGTTTTAATATATGTACATAAAATATATAGATTAAACATTTAAGGACTTATCAAGGAGCGAAATATGAGAATTAAGTATAATAGAAATTTTAAATATGTATGTTAGTATGTTAAGTATATAGATATGTACATATATAGTTATTCACTTCCGTTTTGATTTCATATCTTTTACAATCCAACGTATAGTTTTAGATATTACTCTTAATTAACTCAGCTCCAACGCTGAATAAAATCAGTATATAAGTATTTTAACAGTTTCTAATAGGTACTAATACTAAGTATGTATTACGTAATGCTATTAATTATAATTAGCCCATTGGTGAATTAAAAAAGAAGTGAATTGAATTCGAGGCTGGATCTCTGAGATTTTTACGTGCAAGTCATTTTCGACATGATTACCACTTACTAATAGGTGATATCATCAGGAACCTGCATGCCTGAGTTTCTTCACATATCTTTCTAAGCCTTATTTAGTTTTAGAAAGATATGTGAAGTAAGCCTAACCGCATTTGGTCACCGTGAACTTCGCCCGCGCATTAACAGATCGTGCCCAGCAGTGGGACATTAAAAGAGCTAAATTATTATACGAGTACATTAATATACTATATGTAGATGATTGTATATTTTTATCATCAACAACGTTTGATTTTTTTAAATATAAAAAAATATATTATACAACTAGCGGCTCACCCTCCCTTCTCTCGGGTTCGTCGCTAGTGAAAAATAAATACAAATCTATCTCACGGAACTAAAATCTATCTATCTCTGTGCCAAATATCCAGATCCATTCAGCCGTTCTGGCGTGATTGAGTAACAAACATCCATCCATCCAAACATTCGCATTTTTTTAGTAGTAAGATTAAAACTTACAGGAATTAGAAGACTCAATAAGTAAGCAGTGCAAACGCGAAGGACTGCCCAGATTTTCAAAAAGATTCCATCAGGTTTTATAATAATTGGAACCAATAAATATGGAGATAAGTTATTAAAAACATCGAATTTCTTGTAAGATTTTAAATAGCTCTCATTTTTCTTCCGATAATCTTCTAAAACGTTTATAAAAGAATCTGAAATGAAACGTTTATTTTAATATATACTTTTTCTCTGTTTTATTGTGCTATTAGGATTATTTTACTAAGACTTCGAAGTAGGTAATCTGCGCTATTACGGTAAAATTAAATTGGATATTTTGTACGTAATGGTACAGCATTCTTAATAAAAGTAAATTTATTTTATAGGGTACCTACTGAGCGTTTGTAAAATGTTTTAATTTCATGAATACAAGAAACTTAACCACTTTTGCTGCAACTTTATAATTATATTAAAAATCATCTGTTTATACAAATGGAAGGGTTTCACGTATTTATACTTTCTTATCATATCTTTTTTTTATTAAAGTGGCCTTACATTTGCCAACTCGGTTTTACCTGTCCAGGAAACTTAGCAAATAAATTTCAAAAATTCTTATACATAAATATCTATGTACAAAATGCGAGATGTTGTAAATATACATAATATGTATCTATATAGATATCTTATGACATTTAATTACTCGACGAATGTGTGAAATATTAGGATAAACAAAATAGACTTATTATATTTATTTTACTTTAAAATCAATGCACGATTTAATCTGCATATAAATTATTACGACAACCTACCGTTGAAGAAATTTTGTAGAATATTTGTGATGCGCTTCCGTTTGCTTATAGTGAGTCGGTTATAATGCTGTAGATAAGCGTCTGTATTCTTAGATTTAGCTTGTAGTTCAATTCTTTTTAATTCCTCTTCATTTAGTAAGCCTTCATGTTCTCTCATATCAGGGAAGAGATTAAGAGCAGAAGTATAGGCAAAATGACTTATGCTTATGAACTGAAATGTTACTTTATTAGCTGACTTTGTATTTATACTTTTCAACGTCCCAGTGCTGGAACTGCCTACCGAGGAGGATTAGGACATAGGGATGGCAGACTGCACATGTTTTTAAAAAGCTGGCTAGGTTCTCTGAGAGATATGCAGGTTTTGCTCACGATATTTTCCTTCACCATAAGACAAATGGTAATAATGTTGGAAATGATTCGCATATCAAAATATCAGCCGTGCGAGATCTGGGATTTGAACCAGCTCACTCTATTTCCGATGCGAGCGCGTTAACACTGGGCTACCACTGCCTTAACCTTAATTTAGACTTTGTTTCAAGACGTTTCAGGATATTTAACAACTATTTTTTAAATATCTTGAACAAATTAGCTATTTCAGTACCATTAACTTCTATTTATTAATCGGTTAATTAATATAAACCTTTTCTAACCAAATACTACCGATGCGGTTACGAAAAAATCTATTGTTTCGTCAATGACCATCTGTAACAGATGTTAATGTACTGTTAAATGACTTACTTTGCAATGTGTTAGAGTAATTACGGTACTGACAGCCGGCACGCCATACAACAATACTAATAATCCCAGATGGTTCCCGCGGCCAATGACTCGCTCAGTATTAGTTTCTCGCATCTCCTTACATGTCACCAAACAGTAACCGCTCTCGATAATGTACAGCTCTCGAGTAACAGTCCCGCCGTAGTAAACTATCTCACCAGGCGGTAGAATTATATCCCTTGCAGCTACACAATAAATACGATTATAGAATTTTAAATTATTTAACTACTAGCTAAACTGACCAGCATTGTCTTGTCCAGAATTTTGTTTGTCATTAATAAAAAAAAACACTAAAGATAATAAGCATATTCATTATTCAATTTTATTTTACGAATTTCCCAAAAATCCTGGCAAGTTTTCGACATTTTTTCTCCAAAATTGTCATTAGATATATAGTAATAGTATAAAAAAAAATCCAACCGTTTTCAAGTGATGCGCTTACCAAGCATTTCATTTTTTGATTATACTGGTAGTTAACCTACTAACATTATAAACGCGAAAGTTTATAAGAATGTATGTATGGATGTATATTTGTTACTCTTTCACGCAAAAACTACTGAATGGATTTTGATGAAACTTTACGATAATATAGCTCATACATCAGAATAACACATATACTACTTTTTATCCCGGAAAAATGCATGGTTCCCGTGGGATGGATTTGTTTTTGTTTTTCTAGAACCTGAGCGAAGCGAGGGTGAGCCGCTAGTATGAAATATATATTTTGCTAATATCCTGATTTTAATAAACACACGCGTCGTTATATATAATCGTTATAACGTTGATAAACATGAAAATCTTTACTAATTTTACGAGTAAATGATTATGAAAATTTAACGTTTGATCCATTTTGGGACCGGCGGTAATTAGCTTGGCAGACGCCAGTCTTATTGACACAACTAGGTCGGACGTGAACTGTTTAACACCCTAATAATTACATTACTCAAGAAGAAGAAGTTCCATTCATAAATACATACTTTCTGTTAGCGTATGAATAAACGCTTTATTTTTCACTTGAAAGAATCTAATTGAAGTCAGCGTTTTAAATCTTGCTTGATGAAGAACTTTCTTTCGAAGCTCTGAAGGCACCACTGTTCTTTCAAGCCAATTTTCTCCCGTTAGTTCTACGCCCTTTAAATAATGAGTATTTATATTATAAGGTGCAATTTGTTAAATGCGTTCATTAAAAAAAAGATTTTAATTAAAACTTTTAATGTAATCATACCGAATTGTACTGCCATTGCAACTCGTAGAAAGCCATTATTCTTGATTTAATAGCCGGATGCATATTATTCTCTTTCATAAATCTGTCTATCGTGATGATCACTTCTAGGAAAGCTGTTTTCGTTCTTAAATTATATGAAAAAATTATTAATATAATACTTTAGTATTTTGTAAGATATTGAGCATTCATTTATTTACCGAGACCAATGGGTGACAACAGCAGAAAATTCAGATACGCAGTAACCAGTGAGAAGAACTCCATATAAACTCAAAAAAGCAATAAACGCCATGTCGAACTGGTCTCCAGGTGCGAAATCTCCAAATCCAACAGACAGCAATGTCGTTGTTGCAAAATAAATAGCAGTGAGTATATGGTACTTTGTCCTAAAAAGTTAACAAATCGTTGGTACTGTTAAATATATGAATGATAGTTAAACAGAAGTTCTATAAAAACCAGAAGCACTTGAGATTTTTTTTTAATTTTAGGTGAGGTTAATCATTTATGTTATTTACTATGGCCGTAAAATATTATGCAATTTTTTTTATTTTTTTTTATCCAAATAAAATTATATTTTCCTATAGTAGCAGTAAAAATCAAATGATAAAATTGCGTATGACGAACTCTGAAAATATAATTTCAAGCATCGTAAACACGTTTTATTAACAAGTCTAGTAGGTATACTTTACTTTTTCGATGTCAAGCCACTTCTTTGATCTTCCCAGGTCAAAGCTCTAGCGAACCACGACTTTCGAGAACATCTATTTACAAAGCACGATTCCATATATAATATAACGCCAGCCCAATAACATATAAATCCTATGTAAATACAATATTTTAGAACCTGAAATTGTACTCGGAATGTATGTTTGTTTGGAATATTATCTGTTAATTTGAAAGTAGGTATATAAAAATATGTATGTAATACATTCGTTTTTTTTTATATAAATTAGGATCTCGACCTTCTAACGAGCCTTATAAGACCGCCTTTATCGGCTGTATTTAATTGTTTATGTATTTATAGATTACTTCTTACAGATGCAATAAGTATCTATCTATAATAAATTAAGCAAACAAAACAGTTCAGCACCTTTTTCTCCTTTGTTTGTCAAAGGATATTCTTTATATTTTTTGTTTAGTAGCTTTTGATGAGCTTTAGTGTTATCAATAAAAAATGGGGACATATATGTAGTTTATATATATATATATATATATATATATATATATATTTAGGTAAATTCTATGATTTCCCCAATTTTTTAATAATAATGAACTAAATAGTTAGCTTGAATTTCGACTCTAGGCGAATACTAGTTTATTTTATGATTCACTATAAAATTAATATTCACGAGAAAGTTGTACCTTGACTATAATTGAATTTGACAACAGTTTTCTTTCTAGTTTTTCAAAAAAGTTCGATAATCTCCAAACAAGACCAAGTTTCGTGCCTTTGCATAAATAAAAAAGATGATTTCCGTAATTGTCTAGATATGATGCATTCGTATGAATAGTGACAATATATTCAAACGGAACAATTGAAAAAACGTCCAAATAAAATCCGAGGGTATTCATTCGATAACTTAATATGGACATAAAATTATGAATATAGGATTTCTTAGTTTTCACTGCAGTGACTAAAGATATAATAACGTTTAATATCAAAGAAATTGTAATGACAATCTCTACATAGAAAAATGTTCCGCCTGGGAACTCTCTTTCAAAACCAATGAAGTACGGATATACTAAGCAAATGTAGAAAACTATAAAAAGCATATACAGCTCCCAATATTTCACCAGATAACAATCTGATTCTAAAATCCAAGGAAACTGTGAATTTACACAAGTGAAAGACCCACTTCGCTTTTTTATATGTTCTGATAATATATAAAGATCTAAATATTTTTCTTCGAGTTCATCTTCTTCGCCAAGAGATTCGTTCATTGTTATACCTGAAAATAGCTGATTCTTAGTTTTTTAACTTATGTTATTGGTAAAAGCTATTAGAGCTTTTTGTGTCGTTTAAGTATATGACTACAGAAGTAGAGATAATTTTAAGTAATCAATCACCTTGGATATACCGTAACTTCTCTTTTAAACATTTTATGGCGCTCTTTTTCCGATGCTTAGAGGCGTATATGTTCAGTGACAAAGGATTTTGATTGTTTTGTTCTTGTTTTCTTCTACGACTATCAGATATTCTTTCTTGGATTTCGTTTCGTATTTTCGTTATTATATCTGGATAAGTTATCATCAATTTTATGAAATCAGTTTTATTTAAAACTTGACATTCCACGTATGAAGCGGCTTTAATTGTACATCTCGCTGTAAATAGATTCATTGCTTTGTAAAAAATTTGATCCTGTCTACATATAATTCTACACATTATATTATATAGGTGACATTATTTTTATTTATTAGTCTTAGCCTTTTTAAGCAGATGGTTTAGTAAGTTAAGGTTTTTTCATAAAGTTTACAGACCAGACAGCTATTTTCCTTTTTAATAAGTACTTAGATAGATACGTAACTAAAATGAGAACCCCACATTTCAAAATGCTACTGAAAAACCTTCGGACCATAATTAGGTTCTCACCAAAATAAGCGGGGGCGCTAAGATACTTTTTAATTTACTGACCAGGTATGTTATATACCAGTGAAATCTCTCCAAAACACGTTCCTTTTGCAAACGAAATCATCGGACTTTCATCATCTTCATCAGATAATAATTCTAAGACACCACTCGTGATACAAATCTAAAAAGAAAACAAAGAAGCACAATATTTATATTATTTCATGCTTGCGCTATGAGTAAATAACAATTCATTGAATGAAGTGTAAATATTTATCAATGCAGAAATACATTATTACCATAATAGTCTTGTTTTGATTTTGATTATAAACAATGTCACCAGGTAAATAAAACTGGTGAGTCATAGTAACTGACAGTCTTCTAAGGAATGCTTCCGGGAGTTTTCTGAATATTAAAGAACTGTAGAGAGGTACAGCGTTAAGGTCGTAGCAAATTTCCATTTGTAATGGCGCAGGTAGTAGTCTCATTAGCTTAGGTTTAAATACTCCGGACTTTTGATACCAAAGATCTTCATAATATCTTTAAGAAAAGTAGTAAGCAATGAACATACATAAGTAATTATTGGAAATTAGGCAATAAATTTGGTCAAACAGAGTACTGGTTTAAATAATTATATTTTTTCTATGCTATTAACTAAATAGTTAATAACCGGTGCGAACACACCATTTTTATAAGTTATTATATAAATATATACTTATACTTCCAAATCGTCAAAGTTCTTGGCTTCAATAAATATACCTAGGTATAGAGTATGTAAATCGTAAGTGATATAATTTTTTATTACGTATAGGAACCGGAGAGCGTAACTTTAAGATGATATATATTCATATATGAAATAATACAATACTAATACCCAATAATGCGCCTAGAAGTATCAGGATCCATATTTATTAAAGATAAATGATTTTGTATTTTCTTCAACTGTCGCACATAATTTGCTCTTCTTGTGGTAATCGTTATAAAAAGTGATGTTAGTGATCCAACGAATACCACCGTTGTTAGTAGAAACCCTAATAATACAGCAATTGTTGCTGTAATTCTCTCGCTTGTGGTTACTGGATAGATATCACCAAGCGAATTTGTTGTAAAAAACATGACCGACCAATAAACGCCGACAAAATACCAATCAAGAGTTGTTTCTGTTGGTAAGTTTATGGCTGAAACTGTCCATGAAGAACGTATGTGATGAATGTCGAAATCCTTATAAGCGTATAAAAACCATATACAAGCCCAAGTATGCACTGACAATAAGAATAGTATTAAATATTGAGCTAGAAATGTTGTCCATTGATTTGTGCCGGCTTGAAAGGATTTACTGTAGGAATATTCTATTATTCTATATACACGAGCAGTGGCCATAATTGGAGCAATTGCATATATGTTAAATGTAGTATGTTCTGTAATATCCGGAACTGAATGAATAAAATAAAGAAACGAGTATGGCATCGCTAATACAGCATCTATTACTACACGTTTTGTTTCTGGTTCTACTAAATTTAACGTTTTCCGCCACTTTTCGAAGATTTTTAATCCAAAAACAATAATAACGTCTACTGTAAATATAGAATTCAATGACATAATCAATATTATTATCCAGACGGATCTTTCCTGTGGCTTACTGAAAGTATATAAACATGTTTCTAAAAAGTAAGCGATGAAAATTGCTAAAAGATTTAGGAGATTCCAAATGTGATTTGTATAAATAAGTAGGATATAACGGAGTTTATTATTGGAAAATTCCGATCTTGGATCCTGTAATATGGCATACGCTTTCTGGCGTTTTTGTTCGTCAAATTCTATTAAAACATTATGAGAGTGTTCGCCTGAAAATCGTCCAATCGAGGGTGGATTTATTAAAACGTTAAACTTGTCTTTTCTTCGCCTATATTTATAAACATCAAGGCTTGAATTATTGTTTTCCATGTCTACTAAAAGTAAAAAGCAAAGAAATTTTAAAACTTAAAGTATGTAAATAACAACAATTCTTACAGATTTTGTAAATTATGAAATTTAGTTTCTTTTCCTAGTTTGGCCTAACTATCTTATTCTGATACTTATATACCATGAAATACAAAAGAGGTTGCACTTAAATACAAAATTGCAAAATAAAATTCTATTATTATACAATAATAAAAATTAAGGCATAAAATTCATATAAAGTACAAACCTTTTCCCAATCTATGTTTTAACTATCTCCACATTAATTACTAAATTCTATCCCATGACATTTAAGAAATCTAGTGGGTGCGCGTTAGATATTTAATTACGCAAACTAGTAGGCTCAATGACAAACGTTTATCCTACGCATATATGGATAAAAAGTAAAGGCGTTCGATAATTCCACAGCCCACTAATACTATAAATGCGAAAGTTGGTGACGATAGTTAAGTAACTGAAGCACATAAAAAGTGACAGTGATATATGAATGGATGTTTGTTATTCTTACACGCAATAACTACTAAATCTTTCTACCAACATTGTACATACATCAGAGTAACATGTAGGCTATAATTCTTAAAGATATAGTTATACACTAGCAACTCACCCTCACTCCGCTTTCACGTTTTCACGTTTAGTATATATTTCTCATAGATGAGATATTTTCCCGCAGTAAAAGTATCCTATATGTTGACCCCGATAAACTGCTATTATTATACCAAATTTTATCAAAATCCGTTCAGTGGTTTTTCCGTGATGCGGTAACAGATAGACATACGATAGACAAAAATTCGAATAACTATAGATATATATAGATTCATTCATTATTTCAATAAGATTTTCCAAAAAATATTCAATGTACAGATTCGGCTCAGTTAGAATTTTATTATAGGTATGTATAGGATTAATGAACTATCCAAGCCGCGGGAAAACGCTAGTTTTCACATAAAAAGGTTTAAAGATTACTTTCGAATTAATAATCAAGTTCCGATGCTATTACCAAAGATATAACGTTTTGCACACACGACACGATGACGTAATGTTTTCCTCGTTCAACTCGTAGGCAGAGAGCCGGACATGTAAAACTACGACGCAGAATGTGCACACGGCACTCCAACCTACATAAAGAAGCATAAAAGTGCTTTCAGTCGATTCTGAACTCGGTCTATAATTTACATTTTCTATGCTTAATGATGCAACTATGCAGTCCTTTAATGGCCTTAATAAAACTGACTAATTCAGTTTAAACAAGTCTTGTGCTATAGAAATAACAATTTATTATCTTTCAAATAGATTTATAAGTATTTGTTCTCATAATCTTTTTGGATGTATGGTCAACCAAATTGATTTAAAGTGTTTACATAAAACCATGGGATGTGTAATGGGAAAATTTCCATAATGTCAAAATTTTCCAAAATTATATTAATTTACACGTGAAATACTTAAGTCATACATAGTACGTAAAATACTTAAGTTACATATAGAAATAGATAAAAGCAAAACTCAACATCAGCTAGTACTATTGTTGATTATAAAAGAAACCATGAAACGTTGTATAAATCTTAGTGAAAGTGTCATTTCCGTCGACTACGTAGAGTACTTCAAGTTGTTTTTATGATCAGGACATATTAGCGGCGCCATTTTATTGCCATCTTCGTATAATCAAGTTCTAAAATGCTTGGATAATTAAGCTTAGAGCGGGTTGCCTTAGGTGGTTCGGGGCCGCGTAATACCGGTACATTTATGGTAGTCCACCGCGTGCATTGGTGAAAAATGTCGTCATAAAACGATTTTAAACGCCTTCGGCATTTATCAGTTCTTTGGATTGCTTTAAGGTTGGTAAAACGCAGATAGGTGTAGCTTAAAATTTGCATACAAGACTTTAAATATTACATATTATAGAAGATTATAAATCATTCTTAATCACAAAATTCTAAATTTTAACTTAATTATACGTGATTTTAGAATACTAAAAATAACTTTAGTTTATTATTACAGGTAAAGTTTAGAATAACACTTTTTATTAATAACCGTTTAAAAAATATCAATTCCGAAATTTAACGACTTCCGAAATCAAATATATACATTTTTAACTCACAAACATGAAACTCGTAGATTTTTTTATACGTATTTGTTACGCCTATCCCGTGAAAAATTTTCCGTGGAAGGGGCGGCTCAAGACTACGAAATTCTACCCATTAAGCAGAATTTACTTTCCTTTTAAGCTAAGTAACCTTATTTAGTATCAAAGAAATTTTTATTTATCGTTATTAATCGCTGGCAGTATGTACAATGTACACGGGCACCGACAGAATTATTTCCAGGGAGGTGCATCTTTACATTGAACTACGAACAAATCTTTAAATGATTGATTTTATAATTTGTATTCATATCTTATTTATCGTCTTTTATTCGAAGATATCTAAATTTAAACAGAGATTTTACTCATATAATTTTATTTCTTTAACTTTTTCTATATATTTCCTTCATGGCTGGAGGGTGCAAAGACCCCCAAGGCGCCCATGAGTATGTAATATCAACTAAGGATATTTCGTAAAAAAGTTATTTCTCGAAAAGAGGTTCTTTCGGATGATTCAAAGGTGCTTAACAAAAAAGCAGCTGGGTGAATGTTCTTACGATAAGAAAACTATTTATATATCAGTGTATACGTAGATATCATAAGGTTACTGTTCCACTTTTACCTAAAAATAATAACAGACATGAGCGCTGTCTGCTTCCACGAACAAGAAGTGTCTTCGCCCAAAGGCACTATGATACTATTGCTCCTTTTATCTATAATAAATTCAATGACCTTCATACTGTGAAAAATCTAAGCAACTATAGAATAAAAGAAATTTTAAAAGAATGGCTAATTAATCTAACGTATGAACAAACTGAAAACCTTGTGCTAGTATAAAAAAATGAATAAATAAAATAAATATTAATACGATACAAATTGTAATAGTAACATAACGCACACAAGCATACTACCAAACACAAACGCACACACACTTTTCTTTTCTTTGTGTCTTGTAAGCTAGAAGTAATTATTTTTTTATTTTTTTGTCTTCCTTTTTTGTTTACATTAACTTACCTTATTATAACGTAATTTCATGCATTGAATATCACATATGTTCGCCTGATGTGGGAAGGTAGGTACTAGCTCCTGAAACACAGTTTTCTAGTTCAGTAGTTAGGGCTGTGTGCATTTGTTACGATTGTGTTAGTTGAATTAGTAGAAAGAAGGAAATGAGAAGATAAAATTTTTTCGAGTGTCTCTTAATTATTTATTTTTTTAAATAGTTACACTAATTAGCAAAATTAAATTAAACAAAAACGAAAAGAATGCTTAACGGCCCTGAAAGAATGATTCTAGTGGCAAATAGATATTTTTCTCTAAGTATCTTATGTTAACATATATTCGGCGCTTAAATTTATTTAAAATAAAAATTGGGCAAGTATGAGTCGGACTCGCTTACCGAGAGTTCCGTAGAATGTACCATTAAATTTCAGTTATGTGGGAACATAC